TGTGATACGAATCGTGTGTTGTGTTTATGGCTTGTGTTTTGAGCCCTTGTTGTCACACATGTTGAGCTGGTGTCTAACCCTAACTGTGATAGGATATAGTGTGTGTGAGCCGGGTATTAGTCCAATTCAATAGCCTGTTATTACCGCAACACCCACGCACACCATACCATGTGGTGGTCAGTGGCACCTGTAGCCCACCAGTGAGCCCCTCCAGTGTGTAAGTCTATGCATAAGTTACTGTTATATCGTATATGTATTCATACCTAACTCATGATTACTATGTGTTTTGATTGCAAATAGTTTTGCCATTTGTTGTGCACTTTATTACTGATATACCACTGAATGAAGCGATGATTTTAGTGGCAAATAATTTGCTTAAATATTTTAATTGCCGTATAATTCATACCATTTTAATCGCTCACTACTTATGGTGTGTATAGTATTGGCATTCAATCGCTATTTCCAATCAAATACTAGCGTATAGTTTGTTGTTTTAATGAATGCATACATGCGATGATTAACTTGATTGTAGTAATTGCTGGATACATTTGCATAAATTAATGTGTTTTTTATTTGTAAATTTATTTATTTAGTTTACAAATGTGTGTGTATTTTTTTGATACTAAATAATTATGTATTTTTTGAGTTTTAATTAATTAATTAATGGTAAATATAATTTGATAGCTCTCTCTCTCTCTCTCTCTCTCGTGTATTAATTATCTTGAATAACATCTAGCAATCAAAATGTATTTATTTACTTAGATTTCTTAATAATGTATTTAATTTCATATAACTTTTGATATCATGTTTCAAAAAATGTGTTAAAATGATAGTTAACTTTTCACTCTATAGCTACAGTTACCAAATAAATATTTCCTGATTTCTATAGCATTCATATATAGATTTCATTTAATTAATTGAAAGTTTTCAATGTTTGCAAGTCTTCCCGTAAAATGTAATTATATTTGTATGAATTGACGTTTTTGCGAAACTTTTGCAATTGATATGTGTTTTTAAATTGGGATATATTTTTGTCCCACACTTTGTTATGACAGTCGGTAATCAATTCATGAAATAATATGATATTTATATTATGGATAGACTGTACTAATGCTAATCGTTATGTGAACTGTAATTAAGGTTTTGTATTTGAAAAATGAACAAAAAATATATTTTTCTGTAATAAAATCCTTGAGTTTTGGCTATTAATTGATGACAACTATCGCCAGAAAAATTCACTTATGTTTCGCTATTTTATTACATAATTAGACGAATAAAATGTTTGTGTGTTTTGTGTGTAATTGAATTTGAGATGAATTTGCAAATTAGTTGCCATTATATGCGGATTATTATGAATTCAGAGCTATATTTATGACATTCAATACAATTATAGTAATGAATGTGAATGTCGTGTGTTTTATATAAATTTTTTTGTTATAATTTTTGTTTGCATTATTAGTTTGAGTAATATTTATTGGATTAAATATTGATTGATTTATTTTTACAATTTATTGAACTGTTATTTTTTATTTAATGTTTAAATAGTATAGTAGAAAATCTCATCCAGTAAATGTTTGCATAAAACGTTTTTCTATAAGTTATTGATTTGAATTAGTAGTAAATATACAGTATTTTTGTTTTATATGTGAAATAAATTATCATTACTTCAAGGATTTTAAATTGTATTTTAAAATATAAATTGCTATGAAATTTGTGTGTAATTATCATAATTTTAATTATTATCAATGCATACATAAATAATTCAATAATTTCTACATTGATTGAATTTTTAATTCAATATAATTTGCGTTAAAATGTTTAAATAACTTACTTTTAAGTGTTAAACTATTTTATCGTTATTTTTATTTTTCGCTTTACATTTCAATTTAATTCAAATGATAAGCGCAATGAAAATAAACCTTATATTTAAAAATTATAATTAAAATTTTCTTTCAAAAATCAAAACCATTTTGTGTGCAAAACTTTTTAATTATAAAAAAAATACAATTTAAAAATAAGTGTAATCTCATCGGAGTTTTGTTAATTACAAACTCTAAATGAAAAGAAAATCAAAAGTAGTTATAAATATATACCGTATATATATAGCTATAATTAAACCCTTGTCTGTCTCTCTATACATGACATGCAATCTGTAGATAATGTCGGGACAGAAGCCTCGGTCGAGATCCCGGTCCAAACCGGCGGCGCTGGACGGCAGCGATCTATACGCCGCCGAAGCCATACTCGACAAGAAGACGAACGCCGAGGGAAAGACACTCTATTATATCAAGTGGTTGGGTTGGCCCCACCACTCCAACACGTGGGAACCGGAGGAGAACATAGCCTCGGATTCGCTGGTTCAGGAGTTCGAGGAGAGGGTCCAGACGGGCGAGACCTATAAGCAGATGAAACGTCGGCGCTCTCTGGAGGAGAAAAACGCTCAATACGTGGCTGCGAGTGGTTCCCAGGCGTCGACCCATAAATCGCTCAAAAAGGGCGCCGAGAATCACCACAAGAAGGCCAAACACCATAAGCATGAGTCCCACCACCGCAAGGCGGACACCGGCGCCGACCACCGCTCCCATAAGGCCGACCCATCACTCATTAATTGTACGCAATTTTGTGGTGACTTTTGGTTTGCTTGGAGACTAATGTGTGGTTTGTTTTTGCGATTTGTTTTCAGTTAATACATTAGTCGACAGATTGAAAGTTACGGAAAGGGAGGCAAAGGATGCCAAGAAGTCCGGTCGCCAATCGTCAAGATCGCCGTCCGTCAATGCCGGCTCCCGGCGCTCGTCCCGTCAACCCTCCCGTCGCAATAGCCTAATAGCGGACGACCAGACAGTGGGCGACGAAGACATGCGAGGAATGCCTGACCCGCACCACATACTCACACGAAGAGGTATTTCCTATTTGCCTATACATACAGTGTGTCTCTGTGTTTGTGTTTTTTGTGTCCCCAATGAATGTCTAATGTCTAATAATTGGATTCAATTTACCATTGAATTGATTCACTGTTTTTTGTTTTGTATTCTCTCTCCCACTCCCACTCTCTCCCCAACACATGCTTTCCATACAATAGTTTCATCAGATTCTGAACACTCTGTTCACTCACTCGTTGCTAAAAAACCCAACAGTTATTACTCAGACTTCGACACCCAATCATCCCTAGAGTCGAGCCCCGGGGTCGCCATTGATGGCAAACCCGTTAACAGTGAGCGTGAGGTCCAGACCTACCTAAACTCTGGCGCATATGAGCCGCAAGTAGTGTTAGAGCGACTGCCGAAACTAGTGTTAAAGCGAATGCTGTCCAATAGCTATAAGCCCTCTTACGAGGTGTCCATCAAAACCCCCCATAATAACGATGACAATGATAATGACATATCAATCGCCGTCACAGACAGTAAGGGCTGCGCCGAAGAGGTGATAAGCGATGAGTTAAGCGTTGATAAAAACAATGGCGTGAATAGCGAGGTGTTAGCCAAAAGCGATTTGAATAACAATGACACGAGTGCTGAGAGTGTATTGCAATGCCATGATGTAAATGCCCGCAAAATTGACGATAAAGTTGTCATTACAGCGTCAGGTATAGACAGTACTGACACAGACATAGCCACTGTCCAAAGCAAAGACCCAGAGGTTGTGCCAGAGGTTATAGTCGAGATACCAGTCCCGTCCCCCGAGTCCAGGCGCTCACCGCACCCGCAGACTGTCCGCGACGGTGGTCTCGAGGCGATTGTCGCCCCAAACAGTGGTTCCAGCGATGCTGGCGTTGATCTCAGCCAACACACGTCGTTGTCGACTGTGACCATTGGTGGGGAAGTGGTCTCCGAAGAGGTTGTTACCGAAGAGGTCGCTGAAGAAGTGGTTACCGAAGAAATGGCGTCCGAAGAGCAAACGGCTCTCAAGTCGATTGTCATCGCTTTGGATGGGTCCACCGGTGAAGACAGTGGCGTCGAAGTGCCTGTCGTTGAGTCGATCGATCACCAGATGATCACCACTGATGAACAAACAGCTGAGGAAGTGGTTGACACAACCGATGAGAATCCGATTAAAGAGCCTTTAGTTGAAGAGGAAGAGGTGATTGTCGCCGGAGATTGCCTTGAAATTGAAGCCAACGATGACTCGGAAACGGCGACTACTGCTCAAGAGTTAGCGCAAGAAGTTTGCGATAAAAGTGCGGACATTGACACGAACTCCGGTGATAGCGCTCAAGAGATTGTTGTTGTGGTGGTCGACGA